TTCCAAGGAATATGTGATAGACTAGGTATGAAGAAAACAAGAACTACGGCTTATCATCCGCAATCGGATGGTATGGTAGAACGAATGAATAGAACAGTTGGCAAGTATTTGACAAAGATGGTGTCCGATCATCAGCGAGACTGGGACCAATATCTTCCGTTCTTCACAATGGCCTACAGATCTGCTGTTAATGAATCAACAGGCCAGACACCAGCCAGAGTCCTATTCGGACGCGAGATGCGACTACCTTGTGATCTAGAGTTTGGTCCGTTCCCATCTCCAAATCGCTAGTGACCGGATGAAGAAACGGTACGATACACAAGCCGAAAAGGGGTGTTTTAAGAAGAACGATAAAGTCTGGCTTTATAACCCCAAAAAGCGAAAAGATTGTTCTCCCAAATTGCAGCAGTTTTGGGAAGGTCCATACCTCATTATGGAGAAGATCGATGATGTTATTTACCGAATAAGCAAGATTCCGAGAGGAAAGCCGATGATAGTACACCATAACCGGTTGGCGTCTTTCGAGGGTGACCACGACGTAGATGAAGAAGTGGAAATAAACCAAGTCCAAGATGTGTCTGACCTCACGTTTGAGGAATTCATGGGTGCCTATGGAGGTACCGGTAAAGCAAGACATGGTGTTACCACTGAAGAAAGGCAAGATCTACTCGCGCTTTCCGATGACTACTCACTGGCCCTTACCATCCCGGCCAGTATCAAAGATGCACCAGGGTTGGCATCCGTCTTTCGAAGGAAGTTTGGTCGAGTTGCAGAACTCCAATGCCAAGTGCCAGCTCCTGGTAAAACCTTGAAACTTCAAGATGCATCACGTTACCTTTTCTACCTGGTAACAAAAGACACTGCCCGTGACCAACCTACCTACCGAGATGTATGGGAAGCCTTACTTCAGTTGAGAGAGCACGTACTAGAGTCCGACGTGCAAAAGTTAGCCATGCCAAAGTTGGAGTGCCGCCAATTAGATTGGAGGGTTATACGAAACATGGTGGAGGAAATCTTTAAAGACACCGAAGTCCAGGTGTTAGTCTGTTGCAATCCGCATAGTTACTGGTGCGGAGAGAAAACCGTCCCTTGTCATTTCTATACAACTGGAAGTTGTAAAAGAGGGTCCAGTTGCCGATATCAGCATGTCGTTCCAGTTCCAGTCCCGACAAGGTTCCAGGAGGAACCATCTTTTAAGAGGGGGGCAATGTTACGATTTTAAATGTTATGGCATATAGAACTGTAAATATTTTATGACTAATTCTTTTTTATTGATTCTCGTAATTTGTAGGTCAAAATCTACCTGAGCTTCGATACCAGTTGTTTACAGAAATATCTAGACCCTAATTTTAGTGAGTCATCCACGACTCGAAGTTGAAAAAGAACTAGTCTCAGCGGTTAATTGCCTTCACCGAAAAAACCAGTATATTCCATGGGGTTCTTTGCAAAAGTAGGTCACCGAACTTTCCAGATAGCGGAAGTTTCTTTATATATAAAGACGAAATTTTATTGAAGAACTTAGTCATAAGAAGATCGGGAAACGCGGTTTACTTGTAACGAAACGAAAATAAATTATTTGTAATATAAATTAGAATTAATAAAGACTTTAATAAATTCGTAATTAGTTATCGTGAGTTTTAATAAATTAGAATATAGACAATAAATTAGAATAAAGAACTATAAATTAGAACTATATAAACTTAACAACTGTATGGCGAAACAGACACATTAATACTGAGATGAAATCAATCATTTATACAACCAGTGTAAGACCAATAATGATATGTCTCAGAAATAATACCCGACACAGCCACAAGAGGCAGAGATGAGAGTACTAAGAATAATTACAGAAACGCTGAGAGATCAAAATAGCTTTGCTCCTCTTCACATTAGAAGAAAATGTAACGTACAGTATATAAATGAATGGACACAAAAAAGAATGGAATAAGCACATAAGCAGAATGGAGGAGACCCGTGTCGTCAAAATAACAAGAAATAAGTCACCAATCAGCAACATAAGTATCGGACAACCGCGCAAAAGATGGAGTGACAACCTTCCATAAAGGTATTAATCCACCAGTAACAAGCAGAATTGCTTATAAAAAGGAAGAATGAGAAGAAGAAGAAGTAGTATTATACATGTGTTTTTAAGCAGATCGAGATTATTTTTCCACGAAACACGTAACCAACAATCATTGAAATTAAACGTATAGACAGGAATTTATGGAGATCCTATTGTGTTGGGAAATTGGATGGATATTGCTCAAGACAGGGAGAAATGGAATATAATGAAATGGAAAAAGATGAGGATAGTAATGTAGTATATTATTGTCGGGCCAATATTTTGCAACAAAAGTTTGAACATAGGAGCATATCTAAAATTATTATAGGACACAGTTGATCCCATTTTGAGAGATATAATCGAAATTAATCGAAAAATAGAAATCTGAAAGAAGTCGAGATATACACAAAAAGATCAAAGAAGCAGCAGGCATCTATAAATCAAGAAGGTCGGGACACTTAACAGACGCTCAACGAAATCCAATAGTTAATATTAAAGAAACAAAAACAACGTGGATAAACTATGTGACAACAACATTTGAAGACGATAGGAATGTCACCATCACACAAAATAAAAATGACGATACCGGATTAAGAAGCCGCAGGACCAGACGAGTTCTACTCAGAATTTTTAAAAATTATGGATAAAGACGAAGTAAAAAGACTTACCTTGATCTTCAACAATATATACCAAAGTGGAAAAATACCCCAACAGTGGCTAAGATCAACTTTTATAACAATCCCTAAAAAACCCAACACCAAAAAAATGTGAAGATTATAGAATAATAAGCCTTATGAGCCATATCCTGAAAACTTTTTAAAAATTATACATAAAAGAATATATAAAAAGTGTGAAGAACACATGACAAACACACAATTCGGCTTCAGGGATGCATTTGTACTCGAGAGGCACTTTTTGCAATGCAAGTTCTCTTTCAAAGATGTAGAGACGTGAATTGTGATATATATGTGTGTTTTGTGGATTACCAGAAAGTGTTCGATAGAATAAAACATGACGAACTGATGAAAATATTAAATTCAATTGGTCTAGGCAGCAGAGATCGCCATATAATAAACAATATCTATTACGAACAAACTGCAGCTGTTAGAGTTGGGGATCAGCTAACAGACGATATAAAGATAAAAAGAGGTGTATGACAGGGATGTATATTGTCCCCATTATTATTCAATACATATTCAGAGCACATTATGAACCTAGCGCTAACGGACATAGACGAGGGAATACTTATAAACGGAGAACGATTGAACAACATAAGATACGCTGATGATACTGTCATTTTTGCAGACAGTCTTGAAGGTCTGCAGACACTTGTCTCTAGGGTGGCAGAAGTAAGTAACAGGTTTGGGCTTGATTTTAACATCAAAAACCCAAATACATGGTTATAAGCAAAAATAGGATACCACCTGGTCAATTACTAGTTAACCAACAACCTATAACACAGATCACCAACTTTTGTTATCTGGGTGCAAACTTAAATGAACAGTGGGACCAATCGACGGAAATTAAGATAAGGATCGAGAAGGCAAGATCAGCTTTCGTCAAAATGAAAAAAATCTTTAACAGCCACGACATAAAATTGGAAATAAAAGTTCGTTTACTAAAATGCTACGTATTATCCGTTCTTTTATATGGCGTAGAGTCATGGACCTTAACTGAAGCATCACTGAAGAGACTCTAAGCATTTGAGATGTGGTGCTATAGACGTATGTTGAGGATTTCCTGGATAGACAGAATTACCAACGAAGAAGTACTACATAGAATGGGTAAAGAGCGCGAACTAGTCGTAACAATGGGAAATGGAAGTGCAAGATCATAGAAGATGCAGCCAGTCAAGAAGAAGAAGAAGACTCAGAAGATGATTTGTGTTTTCAACAAGACGGCGCTCCTCTGCGCTATAGCATAAACGTAAAGATAAACCTTACTGAATTATTTCCTAGGCAATGGTTTGGACGAAGGGATTTTATCGAATGGCCTCCAAGATCCATCAATTTAACTCTCGTGGATACTTCTTTCTATGCGGCTATTTAAAAAGAAATATTTATAATACTATTTCTGCTTTATTGGAAAAACTAAGACGAGGAATAGTGCATGAATGTAGTCTAAATAGTAACCCGTGAAATACTTCAAAATGTCCTAATTTCGAATTGTGATTTTATAATTATTGTATTGACGTTGGTGGATATATTTTTGAACATTTAATTAAATAATAATTATAGCTAATGGTTAAATTGTTTAGGATTATGATTTTAATAATTTAAAATTTAGTTAATTTTACTATCGCTACGTTTAGTAAAGTTTCCTATTAATGTTGCAACTTAAGTTTTATTGGTTTTTGACTTTTTAAAATACGGAAAGTTTAAATAATACTAGCAAAACATAGGCGTTACGTTTGGTTTTTAAGAGGTGTAGAACTTTCAATAAAATGATACTTTTTCACAAGAATAGAATTAATATGTAAATCAATAATGGATGAATGAATTGTCCAGAGAAATACAGGTCTAATACTGTGCCATACATGGTATATTTCCTATTTAAAATTAAACGTGTTTGTGGTACTGGTAGGGAGGCGGTTGACAAATGACAGATATTTCTATCAATAAAAGATGTGACCTTTGGAATAAAAATCGACCTGATTTAGCATTTTTACAAAATCCAATGAATATTGCCGAATAACAGGGTGGATTCTTTTGAGTGGCGAACCCTGTACATTAACTGCTTCTGTATTTTGCCACTAAGTAATTGCTTAACAGAATTCGTAATAAATAAGAGCAGATATATTTATCTTACGGAATTTATCAATGGAAGTATTGACCTTAGTTGTAAACATTCGAAGGATGTTAACTACTGTTTGAAATTATTTCCTTATTAACTTGTCTTGATTGCGGACTTAACTTACGTCACTTTTCTTTTGTTACAGCTCCTTGAAGAACAGCTAGAATCGGCATCTAGTATCGAAATGGAACTTACGGAGAGATTAAATAAATTTAAAGAAGAATACGACGAATTAAAATTTCAGGTATGTATGTTTTACTTTTTAATCAAATTATAAATATTTCAAATATCGCAATACCGGTAATTAATCAATCAATATTCTTTATTTCATCTGACTTTTACAAGTATTGAAATGCGTCAAAATACAATCTATGATCAGTAAAAACATACAAATTGTTAAAAAGATGCCTGTAAGTATTCCTCTAACGAATAGAAAGTGTTTACCAGAAGTAAGTCCTTAACTGTTCTCTTAAATACATAAATATTTCACTCTGAACATAATTTGGTAATTTATTATACAAACGAAGGCATGTTGGGTAAGGACCCTTGCCCAAACGATCAAGTGACGAACAGGGGTCACCAAATCATTTCTCTAACGAAAATTGTAGCCACTCATTAAGGAAACATCATTTCTGCAAATAAAATTGCATCTATGTGACTTTACATAAACAACACAACTGAAAATATACAGCGAAATTACAGTTAAAATATTTAATTGTTTAAAAACTGGTCTGCAGGAATCCAAGCACCTTCTAAACGTCATGGTACGAATAATTTTTTTTTGAAGAGCAAGCACCTTATTAATTCGCGATCAACAAATTAAGCCCTTTTAGTACATATTACATACAGTGCACGGACAATCTTTCCACTACACAATCAATGTGAGAGCTCCCAAGATAAATTAGAATCCAGGTAAACACCTAACTTAGTGGAGTGGCTATTTACCACAGACCCATTGTCAAGTTTTACTAATGGACTGATCTGCATAGTACAAGGTGAAAAGGTTACCATATTTTTACTTAATCCATTTAAGATTATGGCATTATTTAAACAGGAATGAGTCATACATTTTGCAAGACCGTTTGCTTTTAGTACTACATGAAAAACAGTATTGGAATTTAGTACAACTGTGGTAGCGTCAACAAATTGAGTGACATAACAGCCTGAATGATGTTCCACGGTTTCTACTCGAAGTCTTATTGCATCAGAAAAATTATCTTATGGATTCCGAACCAAACATGTTGAGCTATCGTTTATTAGTTGATTTAAATCATTGACGACAATCAAAAATAAAAGAGGGCCAATGATACTTCGCTGTGGAACTCCGGAGAGGACACTTTCTTCTGAAGAAAATATTATATTCCCATTCACATTGCCCTTCATTTTTTGAAACCTTTTCGATAAAAAACTGTGGATCTAATTTAACAGTTCCTCTAACACCACTATGATAAAATGTTTCCAGCAGTATTAGATGATTTACAGTTTCAAAAGCTCGTGCTAAGTCAAAAAAACAAACAGATACCCTTATCGAAGTTCGATAAAATATGATTGCACAGCACTAGTAGTGCATCTTGCACACTTATACCTTCACGGAAACCAAATTTCGACTTTTCTATAATGTTGTGCTTGTTAATATACGAGAGGAGACGTGTATGAAATGACTTCTCATATATTTTTGAAAACACAGATAAAATTGATAGGCCTCGATAGTTATCAAACTTTGATTTGCCACCTTTTTATGTGTAGGTACAACTAAAACAGTATTTAGAATTTGAAGAAAAATCCGTTCCTGAAATGAAATGTTTACTAGAAATGTTAATTGTTTATATATGTTATTAGATACATGTGTTAACATAGAATACGGGATCTCATTAAGTCCAGCCGAGGATTTTTTTTGAGATTATCAGAGAATATTTATTAGATTATTATTATATTATTTTAATTATCCTTTATATTTCTTCATCACTAACAGGATAAAGGAAAAGGGAGTGTACAGGCGAAGTTTGACTAATTAAATTTTTTACGGAATTCGAAAAATGTTAACTGAAAGATTCTACTATGTCATGAGGGTCATCCACAGAAATTCCCAAATTATTTTTAAATATACTTGGGTATTTAGAAGAGTTTCGGTTTTTACCTCCGACAGTGTTTCGATTTATGATGCACCAACAATAATAATATGATAATATATTATTAAGTTTATATAGTTCTAATTTATTTGTCTTTATTCTAATTTATTGTCTATATTCTAATTTATTAAAACTCACGATAACTAATTACTAATTTATTAAATAGCTTATTAAATACAAATTTATTTGTTACGTTTCGTTACAAGTAAACCGCGTTTCCCGATCTTCTTATGACTGACTGCCAAATAAGAAATCTTTCATTTATATACACAACTGTTGTTATCTCGAAATTTCGGCGGCCTTCTACATTATAATGGAATAATCTCGTATTTTGGTGAAGGCGCTCGACTCGTTTTTCAACCTCGAGACGTGGATTACTCATAAAATTAGGGTCTAGAAATTTCTGTAAACAACTTCGAATTTACTGGAACAGAAAACAGAATTAGTCATAATATATTAATAGTTATAAACGCCATAATTATCGTAACATTGCCCCCCTCTTAAAAGATGGTTCCTCCTGGAACCTTGTCGGGACTGGAACTGAAACGGTATGCTGGTATCGGCAACTGGACCCTCTTTTACAACTTCCAGTTTTATAAAAATGACAAGGGACGGTTTTCTCTCCGCACCAGTAACTATGCGGATTGCAACAGACTAACACCTGGACTTCGGTGTCTCTAAAGATCTCCTCCACCATACTTCGAATAACCCTCCAATCTAATTGGTGGCACTCTAACTTTGGCATGGCTAACTTTTGTACGTCGGACTCTAGTACGTGCTCTCTCAACTGAAGTAAGGCTTCCCATACATCTCGGTAGGTAGGTTGGTCACGGGCAGTGTCTTTTGTTACCAGGTAGAAAAGGTAACGTGATGCATCTTGAAGTTTCAAGGTTTTACCAGGAGCTGGCACTTGGCATTGAAGTTCTGCAACTCGACCAAACTTCCTTCGAAAGACGGATGCCAACCCTGGTGCATCTTTGATACTGGCCGGGATGGTAAGGGCCAGTGAGTAGTCATCGGGAAGCGCGAGTAGATCTTGCCTTTCTTCAGTGGTAACACCATGTCTTGCTTTACCGGTACCTCCATAGGCACCCATGAATTCCTCAAACGTGAGGTCAGACACATCTTGGACTTGGTTTACTTCCACTTCTTCATCTACGTCGTGGTCACCCTCGAAAGACGCCAACCGGTTATGGTGTACTATCATCGGCTTTCCTCTCGGGATCTTGCTTATTCGGTAAATAACATCATTGATCTTCTCCATAATGAGGTATGGACCTTCCCAAAACTGCTGCAATTTGGGAGAACAACCTTTTCGCTTTTTGGGGCTATAAAGCCAGACTTTATCGTTCTTCTTAAAACACCCCTTTTCGGCTTGTGTATCGTACCGTTTCTTCATTCGGTCACTAGCGATTTGGAGATGGGAACGGACCAACTCGTGTACATCGTCCATTCTTCTTCGTAATTCGATCACATAATCTTCACCTGCTACATCTTCTCCAGGTCGACACCCAAACTCTAGATCACAAGGTAGTCGCATCTCGCGTCCGAATAGGACTCTGGCTGGTGTCTGGCCTGTTGATTCATTAACAGCAGATCTGTAGGCCATTGTGAAGAACGGAAGATATTGGTCCCAGTCTCGCTGATGATCGGACACCATCTTTGTCAAATACTTGCCAACTGTTCTATTCATTCGTTCTACCATACCATCCGATTGCGGATGATAAGCCGTAGTTCTTGTTTTCTTCATACCTAGTCTATCACATATTCCTTGGAATAAATCGCTTTCGAAGTTCCTGCCTTGGTCACTATGGATCTCCAAAGGCACTCCAAATCGGCTGATATATTCTTGGATCAACTTATCTGCAACGGTGGCCGCCTTCTGGTCTGGAAGTGCGTAAATCTCGACCCACTTAGTGAAGTAATCCATTACTACCAACATGTACTTGCCTCCATTATCACTTTCTGGAAATGGCCCAGCAATGTCCAAAGCTATTCTTTCAAACGGGCTTCCAACATTATATTGTCTCATAGGAGCTCTCCTTTTTCGATAAGGCCCGTTACTCGTAGCACAAATAGTACATTTCTTACACCAGTCTTTTACATCGTCGGAACTGTTCATCCAATAAGACCGTTCCCGAATTCGCTGAAGGGTCTTCTTTACACCAAAATGCCCTCCTGATGGACTGTCGTGTAACTGAAGAAGTACTTCGGCTGTTCTGCTCTTTGGAATCACCAACTGTCTTCTCTTCTCTGAACCGTCATCATTTTCCAGGACTCGTTTGAGCAAGCCATCTTCCATGATAAATGAGTCCCACTGGGCCCAATATGTCTTAACTACTGAGCCTAGGTTCGATATTTCTTGCCAAGGTGGTCGACGGTTTTCCTCTTTCCATTTTCGGATTTTCTGTATAACTGGATCTCCCTCTTGTTCTTCCCTGATCTTGGTAGGCGTCCAGTCGTCGTTGATCACCGTCGTTCTTAGCACTGCTGCTTCCTTGGATTCCGTTTTGTTGCAGTGGGAACACTCTGCTGGGCATGGCCTTCTGGAAAGAGAATCAGCGTTTCGGTGGCTAACTCCGGCCCGGTGCTCAATCTTAAAATCATATTCTTGGAGTCGTTCGATCCACCTGGCTATCTGACCCTCTGGATTTTTAAACTGCATCAACCACTTAAGGGCGGCATGGTCGGTTCGGATTAAAAACTTTCTTCCATAGAGGTATTGATAGAAGTGCTCTACTGATTTCACTACTGCCAGAAGTTCTCTTCTCGTGACGCAATAATTTCGCTCAGGTTTTGAGAGAACTTTACTAAAATATCCAAGGACTCTTTCCTGTCCTCCTTGAATCTGAGACAGCACTCCTCCAATTCCCACATTACTTGCATCTGTATCTAAGATGAACTCTCCTTCTGGCAGTGGATACCCTAAAATTGGTGCTGTGATTAAATGCTTTTTTAAGGTTTCAAAGGCATTCTGGCAGTCTACATCCCAGCGGTATTCTCTTGCTTCCTCTGTAAGTCGCGTTAATGGTTTAGCGATATCTGCAAACTTCTTAATAAACCTCCGGTAGTAAGTACACAGTCCCAGAAAACTTCTCACTTGATGTTTGTCAGT